TCCACTCCAATACACCACTTCACCAGCAATATCCACTCTTCTCCCCAATAGCAGTGCCAGCACATTCCCCCTCCTCTGGCCAGTCCTCCCGCTATGCTTGCTCCCCAGCGGCAGAAACTGGACCCCACGCAAAAGCACAAAAAATGGGGGTTTGTCCTTTCGCATCGAAGACCCTTCCTTTAAATCAGATCATGTAAGTCCCCCTACACATCAGAATCCCCCTTTACATTAAGAGCTCACTTCCCATCAGGAGCCCCTTCTTTTCAAATCAAAGTCTCGCCTCTCACACTAGGAGACCTCCGTCACATCAGAAGCCCCCAAAAACATCAGAACCCTGCTCCTTTTACAACAGACGCCCTATTCACATCAGAAGCTCCCCCTTTCATATCAGAAGCCCACCTTCACATGAGAGTTCACCCTTTACATCATGATATTAGAGTTCCCCCTTCATATCAGAAGACCCTTCACATCAGAGTCCTACAATCATTAGGAGTCCCATCTGTGGGAGCAAGAAAGAGGGCGAAAGGCAGAGCAGGCCTGGAGGGAGGCATAATAACGTCCTTTTCTGAATGGATTCCACCTTTCCTGCATAAGCGTCATTTGCTTCCATGGTGCTGGCAGCCTGTCTGTCTGTCTATGGCATGAAACTGTGTGGGGCACCACTAAGAAAGCCAGAAGGCACCCTGCTTGGGAAAGGCTGCACTAGAGTTCCCTGAGGGTTTAAAATAAAGAACCGAGCCCCTTTGCTATTCACAAAGGTGAAACGGTGAAAAAAATTCTCTTTTTGGGTTTGTGAATAAGGGAAATGTTTCGCTCCTTTGTCACATTTCATTTTGTTTATTGTCACATGTCCCATTGTAACTGCAATGTTTAGTATTGGATAACAAACTTATAGTAGTATTAAAATATCAAACTTTTTTTTAATATTGAATCCTGATGGAACAAATATACAGTACATTTTCCAGCAAAGCACAAAGAACAGATGCTGTGCACTTTCCCTGCACCCTGAAACTCCTCATTGTAGCGGTTATTGATAGGAAATGTGTAACCACATTACTTCCCGTTATATAATCACTATAGCTGTGACAGGCAGGGAGTGAAGGAAGTGCACCTCCTAATAAAGATCTAATAGCCATAATGCACATTGGCACCGCAGAGCGTTCCCAAGAATGTAAGAATGTCAGGGTTTTCTAAATACCACAAAGTTTACCATGTGACTGTGGCTTAAACCCAGTATTTATAGCACATACTTTGTTTCCCACAACATATAAGCAACCTGGAAGTCTGTCTTAATACATAGATTATAAAAAGGCACAGAAGGACATCAGAAGACGTTATATTTCCTGCCATGGGCATCAGACACCCAACAGTGCATTAGAAGTAGTTTGTAGATACAGAACATTTGATCATGTGCATGTGGCTTATTAAAGCAGACCTTTACCCATATCTTTAAAGTAACAACAAACACATCTTTAGAAATGTTTAGTAATGGCATTCTACAAAAACACACATCTAGATAATTGCATGCTCCTATATTCTTTGCATACCTTATTTCTCTTTTCTTTCCCCAGTCTTCTGACAGGGGCCATGTTTACTAAGGGCAGAATACCAGCTCTCCTTTTACTTCCTGGATTTCTGGCACATGTGACTAGGACATGTGACCATGCACATCATCTCAGGGGAGGAAAATGCCTTTCCCTGAAATCTCATGAGATTACAGATGAAATTTCCCAGCAATGCTCTGCTGATGACAAGGCAATCCCAGTGTGCATTGCTTTGGCAAACTGACATAATTTGCACTTTCAAAGCAGGAAGATAATGCTCGGCAAGTGTAAGTATTTCAAAATCACAGCATTTTACACCTGACATGTCTATGTTATTATTAATCATCATACATAGAGGGATGCATTGGTAGAATTTTATTTTTGAGTGTAAAGGTCCATTACACCTTGCTCTAACGGTGTTATCATGGCTCACCCTATAGACTTTCTGTAGGATACACTTGACCAGCAATGCAATGAAAATGCTCGGATATCACAGCTAAAACATTGAACTATGCCTTTCTTTAGGTGATCAAAACATACTGTAAAAAAGTGAGTAAACCATTTTTTCACAATATTTAAAGTGGAATTAAACCTTCTTTTTTTACAAGCAGTAGACATATGCAAAAACATTAAACAAAAGTTAATAAACTGGTTATTACTTACCTCTGTCGCTGCTCGCTCCCGTCCGAAAATCTGAAGATTATTGAGCGGCCGTGAAGGATCATGGGGTGGGCGCATGCGCAGTAGAGAACTTGAGCCGGGAGAAGAGGAGAGACACAGGGTAAGTCAATGCAGGCAGCCCGGCAGCATGCATGTGGACAGACTCTGTGGGACACTGAAGACACAGCAGTCAGCGCTGGATCAGGGACCAGCACCAGCGCTGGAGGGACTGCTGAAAACTACTGGAAAGAAGATGATCAGATCAAGAGGCATAATTTAAGGTAAGTATTTAAAGTAGCATTGGGAGGGAGGGATGTGACTTTAATGTCACTTTAAATCCAAATTTAACATACTGACAGACATACTGTATACGGTTAAAAGTAAATTAAATAAATTAGTTATTTATAAATACAATTCTGGAAGTGTCCAGGAGTAATATACTAATGCAGCACATTTAAATAGTTCTCATTTTCTTGATGACATTAATTGCATGGTAAGCACTTCTGTTATAAATGGATTCTCTTAGATTAATAAAGAGATTAAAAAATCTGCATGATGTTTGATAGTGTTGTAATGGATACAAGAACCGGAGTGGATAAATAAACATAGCGCTTCTCACATAACAACCAGAGCTTATAAAATATTCAAGTGATATTTTTATTACATAATAACGTATAGTAATTGATATAATGCTGACACTTTAATAAAGTATATGTTGAGCCAAAATGTTTTTACCAAAGTGTTAGATGGATCGGGAAAGGCTTTCTTCCCCAAGGCTCAGCACTGAAGTGAAGAATTGTCTTTTTTTTCACTAATGTTAACTTTTTACTACCATTAGGCTGAATTCACAAAGCTAACACACCGGGATAGCAATATTAAAGTGGACTTTTACACCCTTTTACTAAAAATCACAGCAGCATGCAGTTCAGCATGCTGATTTAAAATCATATTACATTTATTAACTAAACAAACGTGTTCTTCATTTACTTACAAATAGTGTTTATCTACTTCCTGGTCCAGTTTTGGCACAAATTATGTAATGTGCCAAAGCGTTGCATCCTGGGAAGATTACTTCAAAAGAACATTGTGGGGAAATCTCATCTGTAATCTCACTAGATCTCAGGGAAAGGCATTTTCCTCCCCTGAGATGATGTGCATGGTCACATGTCCTAGTCCAGTGGCGAACGTTTTTGAACCCGAGTGCCCAAACTGCGACGCAAAATCAATTTATTTATCTCAAAGTGCCAGCGCTGAAAATAAGTATAGTATTGTATTGCAGTTTGGGCGCTGGGCTTTAAAAAACATTCAACATCACTGCCTTAGGCAAAATAGGGAAACACACATATTCAAACATTTATACACTCAATAAAACACACATCACACACTCATTATAAAAAGATACCGCACACATTAAAAACACACGCACACGTAATGTTCTGGTACATATCACTCATTTGTACCGATCCTCTGCCGCTCGGCCACGCACAAAGGGGGGCTCAGCTTCTCCTCTGAATCTCCGCTGCTTTCCTGAGCACAGGCAGCGGGGGATCCGAGCAGAAGTGAGGAAGGCACTGCACCCGGGGAGGGGGGGGGAGTCGGAGGACAGAGCCGTTGTCACAGCAGCATGTGCGGTGAGGCGAGAGAGAGCCGCCGGCTGTCAGATCCAGGCCGAGCGGCTCTCTTTCTCTCCTCACCGCTCGGCGTGCTGCTGATGATAGCGGCTCCGACCCCCGCCGCTGCCTGCAGCGCCTCGTTCACTTCTCGGATCCCCGCTGCATACAGATGGGGCAGAGCAGCGGGGATCCAGAGAAGCCCCACGTCAGGAGGACTGGACACCGCGATCTACCAGGGATCGCATTGCGATCAATGGTAGATCGCGATCGACCTAATGGGCACCTATGATTTATTATATTGATGGTTCGGCAATATATTAAATAGAATCTGGGCACCTGCCGGGTTTAAAGGCGGGTTTAATATGGCTTTACAGTGACCTGCACCTGGAGTGTGCGGGTCACTGTAACCGGGACTTAGGCTCGCGTGCCACCAGAGGGGCCTCTGCGTGCCCTCTGTGGCACGCGTGCCCTCTGTGGCACGCGTGCCATAGGTTCGCCCACCGATGTCCTAGTCACATGTGCCTGAGTTCCAGGAACTAAATGGGGGGCTAGTAATCTGCCCTTAGTTAACATGGCCACTGTGAGAAGACTGGGGAAAGAAAAGAGAAATAAGGTATGCAAAGAATACAAAGCCGGCAATTATCTGGAATTATGTGTTTGTAGTTTCCCATTACTAAATATTCTAAAGGTGTGTTTGTTGTTAATTTAAAGATTTGGGTAAAGGTCCACTTTAACTTTGCAAAAAGAAATAGTGCTTTTTTAGCAGAGTCCAATGAGATTTGAAAATTCCAGTCACGTGGCTAAACATACAGATACACACTGCTTTGTAAAGCTTTGTAAATTGAGTCTATCGCAGGGGTAGGCAACTCTGGCCCTCCAGCTGTTGTGGAACTACAAGTCCCATAAGGCATTGCAAGACTGACAGTTACCAGCATAACTCCCAGAGGAATGTTGGGATTTGTAGTAAAAGCACAGCTGGAGGGCTGGAGTTGTCCACCCCTGGTCTATAGTCCCTATATCCATCAGGTCCCACTCGCATTCACTCTGTTGTTTTCTGTAGTATAGTAAGCCATGTCATTCAGTTTGTCTTGAGATGTGTTGGTTAGTGAGAAAATCACAATGGCGCATTTTCTTTAAATAAATAAAACGGTGCAGTTGAATTTAACATATTTCCTTGGTATATCCACAGAAATGAATTACGCACGGTTTCTTACGGCAGTGAGTGCAGCAAGACAACCCTCACCTATACGGGCTATGAGTAAGTATTGTGACGCAGTGTCCCGCCTGGGATGATTGGGATTCTGATCCAGAGTATACTTCTGCTTGTTAATGCTGAGGAGGATGTACTGCACATACATACTCTGCCATTACAGGCAAACCTGAAAACATGAGCATCCAATGGGGAGGCCCATGGTGGCCTCAGCCTTTATGACTGGCTCAGTGAACGCCATAGCTGATCTCTCCCATAAGTATGCTAGTTCCCTGGCTGTGATGCTAATGCATTCGCTTCATCACGTTCTAGTTCACTGACCTGAAATCAATATAGAGATTCTGACACATACACCATATTTTTCTTAATGCCTGTGACGTAGCCAGGAGCCAGGTAACTAGTATTTTCAGGAAGCCAACAATGACAACTTTCACACTTCTGTTTGACAAGAAAGGTTGCATTTCACTAGTTTTGCCTATTTGGACGTGCTGCATCCAAATAAAGCAAAGCTGGTCAAACGCAGCCTCACCACTGTCATTTACATTAAAGGAGAACTATGAGGTGAGTGCTTTTCACTCACCTCATAGTTCTAGCCGACCTGTGATAATGAGACTGTCACAGGTCGGCTCAGTAGATCGGGAGGTGAGCGAACACATACCGGAGTTCGCTCACCTCTCGATCCTGTCACGGCTCTCTGCCGTGACAGGGGAGGGGCTGGATTCCCCCCTTACGCGCTCCGATCCGCCATCGCTGACTGGCGGAATGGACAGGGGAGGGGGCGGGTACAGCTGGCTCTGCCTCTAGATAGGCAGAGACAGCTGTCATTCACGCAGCTGGGCGGATCCCGGCACAATTGTCGGGATCCGCTTCAGCTGCGGCGTCTGAGCCTAGGGTGATGGGAGCGTGAGTGGGAGCTAGCGTCCTCCCGTTACCCTAAGGAGAACTATTGGGAAAAGCCTTAACCCCATAGTTCTCCTTTAATCCCCTGAAGTCCATGAATTTGCTGACCTGCATTTCAAACACCGGAAAACAACTCCCATCTACATGCGCCCTAAGAGAGACTGAGTTACCTATACTTTTTATATTTAAATTAAGTTAATTCTTTTTTTTGACTACATAACTGAGTTAAATGTTGTTTATCATGAATCAATTCATCATTTTGATACCTATACATATGTTTGTTTAGCAAAATGTTGGTAGTAACTAAAAAACTGTTTGTTTTTTTTTAAATTATTTTTGCAAGTCAACAAATAAATATTAGAGCTAAGTATATAATTAACCAATGTTGCGATAGTCGTGATAAAATGGCAATGGAGTGCCTGTGTAGATGTATATATCTAACCATAACTTTGAATCTGTCACTGTTTATTATATTTGGTGTGTGAGAAGAGATGATATATTAGCAGGGTGTCTGCAGTAAATGCATGACCTCCAGCTCAGTAAAATTACCCTGCAAATGCTGACAAGCTAATTTATAAAACAGGTATTAATTTGCCACATTTGTCACAGTTGTTTGCTGTGTGACAATAATGGTCAATTGATTTGCTCCTGAGAAATGCATTGTGTTCCATAATGTAATTTGTACATAGGCAGCATGTACCCTGCTGTCAATGTACTTAATGGCTTTTGCAATATGTTGGATTTTTATGGGTTGTTCTAGCTTTTACAGTGGGCATAAAAATTATTTGTACTCCATCGCATTCATTATTTCAAGGATCTGTTCTCTGATTAATGGACATTGGCTATTTTAGTTAAGCAATTGTGCTAAACTCCTTTCCACTTCTTTTTTTTACTTGCAATTTGATTTCAAAGTGTATAACCAGAATATGCATACTGTATTATAATTACATATACACATTGTGCCTTTTGCGGCACTGTCATTGCCATTGTCACTATCTTCTATCATATTACACCGATTGACCTTAGTAGTAATCCACAAGATGTGAATTAAAGAACAACTTTAATTTTGATACAAGTTGTTCTTTAGGCCCGGTTCACACCTGGGTGTTTTGTAGCGTGTTCCTACGCTCTGCAAAACACTCAAACACCGAAATCCCATTATTTCCTATGTGTATGGTTCACATCTGGGCGTATTACAGGCCGTATGAACGCGCTACAAAACGCCCTACGCCCAAAGCAGTACAGGAGCTTCTTTGGGGCGTTTTTGTCGCGCTTATCCATTGGGTTACAGCCAGGTAGCCCTCGGAAACGCGCGCTTGTTGCACGTTTTTTTATATCGTGAATCGCGCAAAAAACGCGCGACAAATGCGCATATTCGATACGCCTAGGTGTGAACCCAGCCTTAGTGTACCCCACCCCCTGTGTGCAGACATATCTCTGTCGCCGTTCCAGCAATCTGCACTGTGCGTCCCTGCCCGGAGCCACAGCTTTTCTTCCAACCAAAAGTGTTCCTGCCAGATTCTCTTCCTCCTGCGCATGAATGACATAACTCCATTAATTCCTCCAACAGTCCTGCAAATTACTACCTTCCACATAGGAATTAATAAGGCTGTGGTGCACATGGACGTGGTAGAGAGGAGTTGGCATGGATGCTTCCAAAGAAATGCTTTGCGACTCTGGGCAAGGCCCCACAGTAAAGATCACAAAAAACTGAGAAGAAAAAGGTAAATATTAGATCAGGTGGGCTGCACTTAAAGGACAACTACATATTTGTACGTTGCCTTGATAACAGGTGGGACAAGGATCCTAAACTTACCTTTCCCATGCTGTCCTGATCCCCTACTGTAACCTCCAAAAAGTCTGTGAAACTCTGTGAAAGTGGAAACTTGCTCACATTCATGCAAACTATCCCCTGAGGTAATTTCAATCAGGCTTGGTAATTGGCCACTCAAGCCCTGAGCAGTGCACTATGGGAGTCAGAGCATTATAAAACAAGCAAATATGCTTATTCAAGAATAACAGACTGTGCCATTAAAATCATCACTTTAAGCCCCCAACTGGACATGCAATTGCAGTGGTTTATTCTGAAGCTACAAAACTGTATCTATCTTACACAGAACTCCTTAGCGCAAATAAGGTTCCTTAGCACAAATCAAGGAAAATCATGCTTCTAGACCGTTCTCTATCAAAATATGGTTTCCTTCTCTATTTGAAATTTTCACAAATGGCATTTTTGTGTAGAGTGTGTCTATAGTATTTGTCTAAATTAAATAACAAATGAAATTATGGGATGTGTCAATCATTTGTTGAAAACATAACTTGCATGGTAGCTCTACAAGGGTATGTAGGGGCAAGTTCTCGGAGGTACTCCTTGTATTTAACTCTTGGAAATATGGTGATGGTTGACTGACCCAATGGCTGCTGAATTACTATGTCTGCTGACACCATTACAGGTGGGATTGTCACTAAGCTTTTATTAGATAAACACTACTTACAAGAGGATGTTTGACATGAACCTTCTGCAGCTGCCTCTATGGTCCAGAACCTGTACTTTAAAACAGGGCTTGACAAATTCACTTTGAATCTAGGAGCCGGCTAAAAAAGTTGGGAGGCAAGTTTTTTTTTTTAAACGAACAAAGCTTTATTTTCAACAACAGTTGTACTTTTCAATTACAGCTTTTATTGGTCCATGTGGCGATACCCAGAGCCGTAGCTAGCTCCTTTTGCGCCCAGGACAAGAAAAAAAAACCTGTGCCCCCCCAACAGGCATGTGACGTCACCCAGCGCTGCGCATGCGCCGTGTCATGTTATGACATGCGCCCCTCCTCCAGGATGTGTTTTTTTATTTAATTTTTTTTTTTTTTTACTGTTGGGGGGGCTTCAGGGAAATATCTGGGGCCTAAACAGCCCCCTGATATTTCCCTTTCTAAAATAGAAAAATAAATTGAGGACACAAAGTCCTCAATCTCTTGTTCTGCAGCCTCTGTTCTAAATTAATGGTACAGAGGCTTTTCATTCATTCAGAAAATATTTACTATGAAGCAGTTTTTGAATGGGGAGATGCCTCTGTACAGAGTGCACGCGATACCTGACATGTGTAGCACAATCGTAATTTTCATACGTAGGTGCACTCGACTTGTGTTTCCGTTAGCATGTACGTGTTCGCAGGGGACTTTACAATTTTTTTTTGCCATTTTTTTTATTTCTTTCTATTTAACTTAATTTTTTTTTACTTTTTTTATTTTTATTTACTTAACTTCATTGCTATTACATGGGGGGCTCACAAGCCCCCTATGTGATAGCACATTGGAAATTACAGGTTCTTGTTAAGGTGACAATAGGGTTCTATTAGACCCCTGGTGTCACCCTTCCACTTCAATAGCTTTAGCTGGGTAATAACAGCTGCATGCTGAGGCAGCTGAATGTAATCACAGCAGGCAGTGGCTGGGAGCAATAGCCAGCCTGCTATTGGCTATTGCAATAGCCAATAGCAGGCTGGCTTTTGCACCCACCCAAAGTTCTCCTTCAGGTCCTCCTCTGCTGATTGACAGCAGGCAGTGGGCAGGTGCAATAGCCAGCCTGCTATTGGCTATTGCAATTTAAAATAACCAATAGGTGGTGGCATAGAGGGGCACAGCGGTTGACAGCAGTCTCTACTCCTGCTGGGCACTGGCTGCAGCAGTCTGTGTCCTCTCCAATCCCCGGTGCCTCTGCTGATACAGACGGGGAGAGCAGCTGGGATTGAAGGGTATACAGAGCGTACTCGCGAGGGCAAGGGGGGGGCGGGGGAGAGAGCAGAGCTGATGCGATGACTGAGGAGGAAGCCCAGGCACCAGGACAAAAGTTCTAACGCATGGGATTTCTCGAGCCCTGCTTAAAATCCATTTCTTTACAAAAATCTCTTTAAAATCTATATATCCAGACATCAGACAACAGGTTCCTATACATAGCTCACAACCTTTGTAACCAAATCCCACTGTCCTTAATTTTTCCTCTAATGTCCTTCTTTTAGTTATGGTGTAAAGGTTTGTATTTATAATTGTATTACTTAACATCCAAGCTTGTTTATATTGCATTACATTTTTTAAACACCCTTTAGATTATTGCAGCGGTTGTTTTTAAATAATTTTATAAAGTAAAGGTAGTGGTAAAAAAAAAGCCCCAGTGTGTTTAAATGAGCATTGTTTAATTTCATGATCATCAATTGAGAGACACAGCTCTGAAAAATTCTGAGACGTAGGGTTATGCTGTTGCCTCCAGGAGAAATGAACACTAGGCAACAAAATGAAAAGCCTGTCACTTTAAGGACATAACCCTTCACACCTGCCAGTTTCACTTAGTGTCCTCAGGAGAAAGGATGTGTCCTTCTCTTCTGGTTTATTATTTTAGTTTCTTTTGTTCCTTCGTTCAAATTCTACTATCAAGTGGCTGCTAGTTGATTCATACCACATACTAATTAAATCCTGGAAGTTTCTGTAGCTATCTGACAAAACTGAGAAATTGATGCCGGATAAGTTAATGTCTTTGCCTCCTCTGATGCTAGTTTTTGGCAGAAAAGTTCTTCAGGCGGCTGTTTGAATATTTGTTTCACAGTTCCTTTTTTGTTGTTGAACTGGTTCTTTTAGTTGCTGTGGTGCCCGCCCCTTTGTTTGAACTGCTTTTGAACATCCTTATGTGTCAGAATTTCTTCAGAGCTGTGTTTCTCAATGGACAATCAAGAAAATGGGATTTTGTTCTTCCGTAAAATCCGATTCTTTGAGTCCATTGAGGGACACAGCTCTTTCCCCTCGTTTTGTTTTGTAGTGCTTACGACAACTGTGAGGTGGGAGGGGCTATATCCTTAAAGTGTCAGGCATTTAATTTTTTTGACTAGTGTTTCCCACATATTATTATTTTTTTTCACATTTATGAGGGAAGGGGCATTTGTGCTTTTCAGTTTCAAAGACGCTTGTTTGTTTGAGTTTTCCTCTATAATAACTCTACAAAATTCATCTTTTATTTTTAGCCGATCTGTTAATGAAATCTCCACCATCAATGATATCCTTATCTGGGGGAATCCCAAATCCAAATACATTTCCATTCAAAGCTGCAAGCATAACAATGAATGATGGGACAGCCATTGAGATTGGGGAGAGTTTGATGAAGAAAGCTCTACAGTACTCTGCAACATCTGGGTAAAATTATTATTTCTTGGCCGGAAAAAAAACGAATTGTTTCTTTCTACTTATATTTTATTAGTCACTTGTTCCTTTTATTGCTGTAGATTCATTGTATATCAATGAATATATCATACTGTAATTCTGCTTTTATTTACCCTGACCATTCTGAATGTATTTGGGGTTTCAGCAGAGGAGGGACCTGAAGGAGAAAGTTCTCCTGCAGGTCTGCTGCTCTGCTGATTGACAACAGGCAATGAGCGGGTGCAATAGCTAGCCTGCTACTGGCTACTGCAATTTAAAAAAGCCAATAGTAGGCTGGCTATTGCTGCCAACCACTGGATGAGAGACCGGCAAGGAGTTGATCAGAAGAGGGGCACGGGAGGCAGAGTAGGGGCATGGGGTAATACAGTCACAGCAGCTGACAGTCGGTCTCTCCTCGGTCTGTGTCCCCCTACGGTCACTGCTGGCTCTGCTGATACAGGCAAGGAGAACAGCAGGGATCAAAAGGGACACAGATTACAGCATGCAGCAAGCTCCAATGCGCCTGGGATTTGTCAAGCCCTGCTCTAGGCAAAAACTTTTTTTAGTTTTGGATAGCATGGGGAAGGGTAAGATACTTACCTCACCAAAGAAAGTGAGGGAAAATCACAAATTGTATAGTTGTCCCCAGAACAAATGGTAAGGGGAAATTTCCATTGGGGGCAGCTGTCTAAGAAGGGAATTGCCCTTACTTTGGGAGATTTTCCCTAACTTCCTATTGTGCCTCTGGGACAGAAATTGAAGGGAAATGTCCCCACATGGTCACAGACAGCAAAAATAAGCCGGTAGGTGTTTTAACTAGGAATACACCTATATATCAGCAAACCGAAACATATCGGCCGAAAATGGCATTTTTGACAAAATGCCGAAAGTACAATTTTTCTGCCGATACAGCGGTGCATCTCTGCTTTCTCTCCTCCCCTCTGGGCGCTGCTCTGTATCCCAGCGGGGAGGAGAGAAACTGTCACAGGCAGCCAAGCGCTGTGGGAGGAGAGCGCTGTGAGCGGCCGGCATCTCTCCTCCTCGCACCGCTCAGCCTCCTGTCACAGATCAGGAGAACGGTCATGTGGGCGGAGACAAGCAGCGCTGTCACAGGAGGCCGGCCGGCGGTGCGGGGGAGGAGTCAGCTGTCAGATCGAGTTCCCCTCACTGCTTGCTGAGCCTCCTGTGACAGCATGTCAGGAAGGAGAGCGAGGTACAAACACTCAGCGATGAGTGATTGCTGAGTGTTTGTAAATAATTGAGATCATAGTATGTTTACTATATCCTCAATTATGAATGAATGGGCGTGATCTACATCACTTCCTGTTCTCTAATGATTGAGGATATAGTAAACACACTATATCCACATGTTAAAAATGAACAGGAACACTCAGTTCATTTACAACAGGGGATGCACAAAAAGAGATTGAGGACTCTGTGTTCTCAATTTCTTTTTCTATTTTAAAAGAGAAATATCAGGGATCTGTTTAAACCCCTAATATTTCCCTGAAGCACCTAAAAGTAAAGTTAAAAATAAAAATATTTAGTAAAAATAAAATATAAACAAATTTAAAAGTTTATAAAAAATAAAAATGAAATATTTGAAAAAAAAACTATTTCGTTTCGGTTTTAAAATTTTTATTTCGGTGCACCTCTAGTTTTAACCCTTTTATACTCTATTCAAAATGAAAAAACAATATGCATACATTTTAAGAGTCAAGAGATTCCATTGGACAGAATAGTATCAGGCAGAAGTCTTCAAAGAAACAGAGTTGACAAGCAATCTACATGTGGTCAAAAATGGGGGAACATTTTACATAAGATTAAAAAGTGTACGTTAACGCCTTATGGTAATAGTGGTGCTGCCTCTACCCTACAAAGTTTATTATGTGAAATTAAACAAGGAAAAGGTGTGAATATAATACTAACCATATATGTAAATTTGAGAGCACTCAGGAATGTGTTAGTGTATGAAGTAAAACAGTACTTCCCAAATCCCCACATATATCTTATGTAATTACTGTGCTAACCTCTGAAGCTCCAACATTAGGTGGTTCCTCCAGTCTTCTTCTTCCCACACTTTCTCTGCTTTTTCTGCTAACACAATAAGCGGCACACATATATTGCACATATTACTGGGCGCGCAGAATGACATTTTGATAATGATTATTAGAAATCATTTAATAATTATAGAATGTTTGTATTATATATTCACATTTGTGTCAACTGAATTGAATTTAGGTCATGATGATGATATGTTTGTTATGCAGAATTCCCGAATTAATCTCCTGGCTGAAAGATTTACAGAACCAATTGCACAATCCGCCAACACTTACTTACAGCCCCGAGAAAGGTCAGATGGAGCTGTGTGTCACCACTGGAAGTCAGGAGGGTCTGTCCAAAGTAAGCTGCTGAATCTGAAGTTTGACATGGAGAATGTTTAGTGTTGTTGTTTCATTACTTTTTTAAGAAGAATGTATGCATCTTTCAGAGTGCGCTTAGCTCATTCCTGATTTACAGTATACCAACCTACCCTACCTATTTACCATCCTGCCACAATGTATACATCCCTTAGTGAATATTTATCTGTGGCGACTGCATTCCAATTCTCTTTCTCTCTCCCCAACCCCAATTAAGTTGGGACACTGTAAAATCTACATAAAATTAGAATGCAATTGTTTGATCATAAACCCATATTTTATTTGCAATAGAAAACATATCAAATGTTTGAATTGAGAAAATGCACTACTTTAAAGTGGACCTTTACCCCTTTTTGGCTAAAAAGCACATCAGCACGCAGCTCTGCATGCTGATATAAAATCATCTCACATTCATTAGTTGAACAAACGTATTTTCATTTTTCTTACAATTTCTTGTTTTCTACTTCCTAGTTCACTTTGACACAATTGATGTAATGTGCCCAAGCGTTGCATAGTGGGAGGGTTGCATCAGCAGTGCATTGCTGGGAAATCTCATCTGTAATCTCATGAGATCTCTGGGAAAGGCATTTTCCTCCCCTGAGATGATGTGCATGGTCACGTGTCCTAATCACATGTGCCAGAGTTCCAGGAAGTAACAGGAGATGGATTCATCTGCCCTTAGTAACAATGGGCACTGAAGTTGGTAAATGTAGCAGGAATCTTTTTTTTGTTTTAATTTGTGCGTGTATGTGCATATAAATATTCATGCACATTGTAAATAAGCATATTATGTTATTAAAAGTTACCTAGCTGTTTCTGACCATATATAAAAGATCAGTTAAAGAGAATTAAAATAAAGTCGACCCAGAACTTTTAATTTACCTTGTTTTAATGCTATTAAACAAATATTTTCAGATATTTGAAATGCTAGTGAATGCTGGAGACAATGTCTTACTGGACGAGCCAACCTATTCTGGAACTCTAGCCGCTGTAAGTAGTCCTTTTCCTTCTTTATATTTTCTTATCAAATAAGAAACCCTGTTTTCCATTTTTTCCTACAGTAAAGGAGATTACTTGTTCCTTTATATGCTCAAACGTAGCCCAAGGCTTCAATAGAAATAGAGACAGATTTAAAAACTGACCATGAGCTAGTTCCCCACCCCACCATTTCAAACCCCCTTACACATATCCTTACCTGGCACCCCAGCAACTCCCTCACACACATCCCCCCCCCCCCCCCAGGATCTACAATGCTGGGCCACACTCCTCTCTCTCACCTCCTGTGTATCATGCAGCTGCCTATCCTCAACTCACCATCTCTAACATACCACAATAAGGATCCACATTATAAAGAAAATATGGAAGTTAATTTAGAGTTCAATGAGAGCTGAAAATAAAGATCCTTATCTTTTATGTTAAAGTCTAACTTTGTGCAGTAATAACATAATAATTAGAGTTGAGCAACAGATCACAAACTGTCACAGGGCCATGGTGTAAGCACTATATTCTTCATTAGCTGGAGGACAGTGTTAAGTGAAGCCCATCTATGCACACCTTTTATCATTTTTTTAAGGAATCTCCATAACGTTATGCTGAGCACAGTGATATAATTTTGAGTAAAAAGAATAGGTATGTAACATTATGAAGCTAATTGCCTTTAATTTACAGGTAAAACCACTGGGTTGCAATCTTATTGGTGTCCCCACTGACCAAAACGGTATTATTCCCAAGGCTCTTAAGAATATTCTTTCCAGATGGCGACCAGAGGATGCCACTAATCCTAAAAAGAATTCCCCAAAAGTTCTTTATACCATACCAAATGGAGGTAATCCCTCTGGGGCCTCACTGACTGAAGAGCGCAAAATAGAAATCTACAAGGTAATGTATAATGAAAACAATAATAACCAGTATATGTTTATAAATTCTGATTCAATCTGTTCTCATGCAAAGCTAATAGTAGTCATGTGACATGTTTAGAAAGAGTTTAACAATTACTTTTAACATACCTCTAGCACTGGCAATACTTAGCATTTAGTTGTAGTATATATCACATGTATTTAACTCCAAAAATGTATTTGCAGGTGCAGTCTGGCCAGGTACTATACTACCATCACTCAGTGGCGTCACAAGGTGGGTGCAGCCCACACCTGGGTGCCACCATTGGAGGGGTGATACCAAAATGACTGTCATTTTGGTGTCACCTCCTATGAAAAGTCAGGCACTTGGTCACGGACCGAGAGACCGACAGTGTCAGGAGAGAGGAGGGGACCAGGCGGCATACCTCATCCCGCCGGGTGAACGTCCCCTCCTCTTTCTGCTGGCGTCCATAACCAAGATGGCAGCCGGCAGGCGTCAATAAGACGACTGCACATGCGCGATGACGTCACGGTGGGGTGTCACCCAATCTCTGCTCCGGGTGACACCCAGCCTCGGGACGCCCCTGCCATCACTACTTACTGATTCCTCAAGCATCATTTTATAATTACAGTTTACTTGTTGCATTAAACGTCCAACTTATAAGTACTGTTTTTTTCAACGTTGATAGTTATCAACAGATATAAAGCCAGTGATAATTATCAACAAATATAAGCCATGATTAAATATTAGTCATGTCACCAATGTGACTTGTAACCAGAAATTGGCCTTGTCATTAGGGCGTTAGGTTTCTAAACAAAATAATTATTGAAAAAATTGGCAGAATAAGTAGATTCCTGCTAATGTGTCTTCTCTTTTTAACAGATTGCACAAGAGTATGATTTAATTATTGTGGAAGATGACCCCTATTATTTTCTCCAGTTCAACAAGGTAGGCCAGTTTATTGTGGAAGTTGACATTATCTGTGCCGTTTTATTGTGCCTGTTATAGCCAATCACATGAGCTTCTATCTTATCTAACTTTTCTACCAGAAAAACTCTAGACAACACATAATGCTTAGATATGAATATGTAAAATGAACAACTGTCTGGAAAGGTTCTAATGTATCCAGGTCATGATATAACTAATAACTAGCAGTCTTCATACACCTAAAAGCATAACTCCAGGGAATACAAAAGTTAATTCTTGCAGTTGGTTCCCCTCTGCACTGCCAGGATTAAATGATCCCACAGGCTTCTTCCCCCCTTGCACAACCAGTCCCTCTCCAAAAGGCATTACATACCATGCAGGACTAGCGGTGCAGATGTTAAAAAAACAAGAATTTGCTTTTTATATGATAAGATAGTTGAAGTGAATCTTCACTCTTTTTTGTGTTAACATTTTTAATCTCTCAACTAAAACCATTAGTAAATCAGCCTCATTACCTCACATCACCTCGCCTTCTCCTTGGATTAGGGTGACTGAGACCCATGTGGCTATCAATGCTGATATATGCTCCTGACACTTGGATGAGTCAACAAACATTTTCAACATTACAGAGCAAGATTGTGATTAACTAATACTTTTTATAGTATGAACCACTACTAACCTGTCTTTATTGGAATGCAGATTTGGGAGAAAAAATACAGCAGGTAGAAACTGACATTTGTCTCTTGAATTCTGGAAAAACAAATTAGCAGTTGCACATAATGCAATTCTTTTGTGCAGTGGAGCCTCCATCACCAACATATAGAAACTTTCCGGCATCTTTTCTGAACTTCTGTTGTGTGTACACTGGTTCAGCTTATAATTAAAAAACTTATACAAAAAATAAATGTGCTCCTGTAGAGGTTCCGGGACTCGGAATGTGATGTCAATCCAATCCAGGCACATCTACAGGACATGCGATTGAGCTATAAGCAATGGACATATGGATGGAGCTCAATTAACGACCATAGCCCCATCCCACCCTACCTCAAGTCAACACTGGGCGCTGGGCAGCATATTTTGAATGGATGCTCAGTGTGAGAACTGACAGTGCTGCGCTAGGGGGAAGCTGAGGAGCCTATCACCTAGAAAAGTGGAAGGCATGCAGTGACCCACTGAACACAGGGTCGAGACCCACTTTTGGGTCACGACCCACCAGTTGAGAACCAAGTTCTTAAAGCATCTGAACCCATCACATTAAGTGCTATGAGGCGTTCAATTTTCTAGCAGTATCAATATGACACTTTGAAAAGTCTTTTTTTCCCCCTGTAGCCTTGGGCTCCATCTTTTCTCTCAATGGATGTTGATGGGCGTGTTATCAGAGCAGACTCTATGTCCAAAGTCCTTTCTTCCGGGTAAGATCAATGATGCATTGGTGCTGTGATGCTTCTGACTCAAGGTCTTTATTATGACAATTTGTGAGATGAGTTCACAAATGTTGTCTTCAGTGCTGTGGTGTGTTCTGTCTTTCGCAGAAAAAGATTCTGGGATATCTTTTGTACTGACATTCAGGTATTTTAATAGTACAAAAACTTAGACTAAATGTGATAAAGTAGTTTTATATAGTTTTAATAGAGAAATATTACTAACTGTATAGAATAACACTGACAAGGATTAGACAGCACATCAGCTGTAGTACATGTACTCATGGGTACAGTTTTATCTGATAAGTGTGTAGTGCCATTGCCATTATCATTATTTCCTTTGCTTAATAGCAGTGTCTCTCATTGTGTTGCTTATGAGACACAATAGGTCATATTTGCCATTTAAATTTTGCAGCAAAAGCAAAATGCCACCAAAAGCAGCATTTTTCCACTGTTTGGAGCTAAACAGAGTTCAGTTATCCTCTCGCTCTTTAAAACTGCCCTGGACCATGGCAAACCCATAACCACCCCAAGCTAGCTGTGACTGTCCATGCTTAGCATTACAATTTCTGCTGTCATCTGCTGAAGTGTGTTTTCTATGTAATTCTATAAATAGTCAAAAAGAGAGTAAGCCGCTCAGCATTTCTCTGTCCTGCTGTGCCCTCTAGTGAATTATTCATGGGAATTTCTGGATAACTGGACGTTTGTCTGATAAGCTGAGTGTTTTCTGAGTTAGGCCATTCCAGGGTTTGTGCTATAAAGTCTGAGGATCAAACCCTGCTCTACTCAAACTGGAAAATCCATTTGGAGGTTACAGTCTTTAAGGGATATCTAAACCCAACAGCCTAAAATGTATATTTTGCAGCATACTAGACTGGTAGACTGGTATTTCCTTATAAGTCTCTGCTGTCTGTTTTCCAGAGATATTTTATTCGATGTCACTAGTTTGTAGGTGCGCCTAAAGCTGGTAGATTTTCATATGAACGTTCATACAAAAAAATCTTGTCCAAACATTCGATATCGTCTTTAGAGACTTTGTTGTTTTGTTCAAAATTTTATGCTGTTCAAAATGTAGTTAAATTTTACTTTTGATTTTGGAATGAATGCAGCTCCTTGAGCAAAAGCCACATTTACTGTTAGAATTTCATTTGTTTGGAGAAAAATATCTATCCTGCTCCTTGAATGATCGCCAGTTTGCCTTCAATAACTATTGGAAAGTTGAACGAATGTTCTGAAAACCATTTTTTTTTTAAACAAAGCTCTACTGGTGTATGGCCAGCATTAGAAATAAGTCCAGCTTGCATTTATCCCAGTACTCATTGCAGGACTACAGTCTTGCCCAGCTGTGGAAACATGCCTTAAATGCATGCAGGTATTTGAGATTTTACTGTAATCAATATGCAGAGTTTAGCAGTGTTCCATAGGCAGTTTATGGAACCACTAAACTTTCCTGTTAATTTCAATCAAATATGAGATAATTGGTTGTAATTGTGGGAACTCTTCTCTTTTTATGGGGTTTCTGTTTGTGGGCCAGTTGTAAATGTCTGAAGTGTGGCCAAAAAAGGTAGGATTAGAAAAGATTGCAGATATGGAGAAGAGTAGAGTAAGAGGAAGCACAAACTAGGAAACACACTCAAAGTAAAATTTAACATCAGTCCCGTGCTGAGCATTATTTGGTCCTGCTCCCCTCTGTCCATGCAATCAAACATGTCTATAGGAATTTACCATCATTTAGGAAGAGGAGGTGTGCAGGTATTCAGGACAGTGTGCGGAGCTGAATTTCAGACTGTATTCTGTCCCAGTTACACATCGCATTTCTCCTCCACTTAAGGTAAACTTGTCATAAGAGAAATATGTGGGCTGCCATTGCTGATCTTCTGAAAAATCTTTATTTTCATACTTGTTCTGGGTAACTGACTCAAAGTACTAAAATGACAACCAGGCAACTAGCATTTTCGGAAGGAGAGCTTAGCAATGGCAGCCATATTGCATTTCTGCTAATGACAAAAAAGGACAGAAAAAATGTGTGGTTAATGACTGCACAGGGAAATGCCACCTTTTTGCTTGTGCCACCTACTGTGCCTAATGGTAAATTTTTGCTGTTAACCATACATCACCAAGCATATTACAAGTGCATTGTTAAATTAAGTACATCTTTACTCTAGAACTAGGTATGGTATAGAAAGTGTATGGTATATGTCTGTTAGATATGTTGAACCTTTGTTTTCTTTGTTGTTTTTATGGGTAAACAAGAATAATCTTATGTTACTTCCTCTCCAGATTGAGGATTGGCTTTTTAACAGGTCCCAAGCCACTTATAGACAGAATAATTCTGCACATGCAGGTCTCTACCTTACATACAAGTTCCTTCACTCAGGTAATTGCTTGAAATGAGACTGCACTTTATTGCCTTTCCATCGTTACACAATCGGGGTTCTAAGACATGCATTATGATTCAGTAGATGGATTCATTTTCATGAGCAGTTACCACTTACAATCAATGAATACAACAATGGAATATGAAATGCGACATAACACATCATGCCATCTTTAGTACTTTTATCATGATTAATGGAGGTTAAGGCTTTTCTTTGCAATATTTTCTGTGGATTCTTGGAATCTGCTAAATTAAAACAACTCAGAAAAACAAAATAGCAATTATAAAATGTAATATATTGTAAACCAGCCTGTTTGTATTACATATAGTTAAACTTGCATGTTTATCATTTGGCATCCTTATGTTGATATAGTAGGGCTTATTCTATAAGTTATATTTTCACATAAGTGTTCTCCTTCTGGAATTTTTTGTGGGGCTGGATAGTATGAAGGAATACTCAAGCATTACTGCATAGTATTGAAGAGAAAAAAACATATATCTTGTGTGAAAACATAGACGCCCATGTGTGGGGGTAAAGTATATTACACAAACATCCTTGGAATGCATGTAGGAAGTATTAAACCAGTGGATAAGATATAACATAGACTTTCTCGTAAATTCCTTATCTGGAAGTATGATATAGGATAGAGGACTGTACTCTTAACCAGGGGTTATATGCTGCCACCTTCCGGTGATTGGACACTGGCAAACAATGTTGATAGGACAGCCCATACAGCACCGCCTGCTTCTCAGCAAGCCTCAGTTTGTTAGCAAGCAATAATGAATGGATTACAGGAAACAAAGGGAAGGGACCTGTGTTCTGCACTTTACTTTATAATAAGGATAGAAACAAAATGTTCAGACTTCCAGTACCAGTGGTACTCAAACCCACAAAAGTCTTGCCACACATATACTGCATAAGACTTTTGTGGGTTTGAGTACCACTGGCACTGGAGGTCTGAACATTTTGTTTCTATTCATATTTGCCAAACAGTGGACCATTCCCACACATTTCTCTCAAATTATTGTATTCATAAGTGGTATTTATTTTTAGACTCTCATGAGTGTATACATTTGGACAATACTAATACTACCAGTAGGGTGAAGGTATTTGGTAGGAGACACAGTTGAGACCTCCTTGCCTGTTTTCTTTTTTAATTCCTAATAATTTAATTGTACAGTATATATAACACAGGACTGTCATCTGAACCGTGGGACATCCCAAAGTAACATAGCGGAGGGGTGGGCAACACAGCAAACAAAATGCAAACACCCACAGAACAAGGACAGAACCCAAACACTTACAGGGCAGCTTTCAGCACCTTTCAGCCAAATATTGCAGCAGAGGAGGCTTGAACATCCACCTGGTAAAACCTAGCATACAGAACACCAGGTAGTGGCCTTGCAAATCTGTGAAACAGAGGCCTGGTGCTGAAAGGCCCAGGAAATACTAAAGACTTAATAAAGTAAGCCTTAATCAAAAAGAGGGAAACCTTATTCTTCAAAGTGTAAGATCTGTAGATCCCCTGTCTATTCCACGTAAAAATGGGGAACAAAAGGCCAGAAGACCTTAACAGGAGTCTTAAGGAAGGGCAAAGAGGGAATCCAATTGTCTAAAGGAAGCCGTGGCAGAAAAGGTAGATTCACACAGCATGTACCACATACAGTCAGTGGGAGCAATTTCCTTAGGATGTTTAAATATAATGAATATTATCTAAACACAAGAGGCATCAAGGTTTGTTTTGTGTATGTTTTCCAGTTCTGTGCCGTAAAATGTTTTTCTTATAATGTAATGAAGACCAGTCGCTGCGGCTCTCTCTCCTTGTGCAGGGTGACTGGTCTCATATCCCCCCTCCCCTGTAGTTTCTGCAGGTAGCCTGTAGTAGGTGGGCCTGCTGGGTCCCTTCCATATCAAGGTATGGGCAGCACAGTGATGAAGTCACTGCTAATTTTACAAGGTATTAACTGGGTTTTGCTAAACCCTTTGTGCGCATAAAGTGGGTTTATATCCTTTGTGGCTATTGAAGAATATATTTAAATGAAATTATTTGTGTCAGTAGCTTTAACTACCTTACTGAAAACAAGTGTCTATATTGTGATCTCTGTTGGAGAGATTCCTCTCAATTCTTGTCCCAATGACCACCTGCAATCCAAGGAGGAATGTCCCCAATAGAAACCCGACGGAGGTTTTAATCTCCACAATTGTAAAAAACATGTTTTTTCCTATGGTTCAAGTTTAAGTAGATATTTTGCCTATTTATGACATTTAAATTATACACACAGTACTTTAACAATTGTGAAACTTTGGTGCATAAGCAGTTCTGATTCTGATTGATGTAATCCCTTAAATTGCAGATTATGATACATCAGCTTCTGCAGAAGTGGGGTGTAGAAGGCTTCCTGGAACATACTGATAGGTATTGGAATGTTACTTTTTAATTTTAGCTAGCAAATATGTGCCTTTTCCGTAAAATCCATCATTTGAAAGGATGGTGTTAAAATACTTTGGACCTGCCTTTAGATTTTGTTACATGCTACAGTATCATTGTGCAGTCTACTCAATGTAGTTCTACATGTGTGTGTTCTTACATACGAGCCATCGCATTCTTCAAATTTGAATGAGGTTGTATAAGGCCCCTTGCACATGGGTGCTTTTAGTTCTGATCAGGCAGGGGATCTGTGCATGGATCCCCTGCTGATCGGAACAGATGTCACCGTCAGGGGTAATCGGACTAAACGAACACTCATCCATTTAGATCCAGCTGCCCATAGACTGGAAAACTGACAGGCGAACCTGTTCGGAATCCCAGTGTGAAAGGGTCCTTGAACTTTGATTGCATAAAGTGAACTTGGTAAAAAGAAAAGTAACAAGTTTACTTTACTGTTGAGCTGTATGATGAGCTTGTACTTGCCTCCTCACACTCTTCAGCTGCCCTGATCTTTCATCAGTCTCCCCCAGATGTAAATTTGGACATGCTGGCCTAGAGGGCTGTGTTCCCTAATCTCCAGTGTGACCGTGCCCAGATCTGTTGACTGGTAGGTGTGGGCGTAAAGTACTGCATTGTGGAAAGGTGGGGGTGGCATCAGATGTTTGCCCTTACATGGATGTGCAGATACCCAGGCTCTGGTAGTGAATTGGGGACATAAGGGAGCATGAAATAAGTAATTGCTCCTTAGGGTCAGAAAAGCAAACTTTGACCAGTATGGTTTTTTTGGTGTCTTTTAAATTGATCAAAAACTATGTAGTACAAGGATCTACCTAACTGGATATGGATTGTTTAGGTAGGTCCTTAAACATAAGTTGTTGGTCTAAATCTAAAGTAGACTGCACAATTAGGAACCTGTATTGACAACTTAATGATGAACACATAATTTCAACAAGTTTTGCTACATGTTGATTGTAAGACATTTTTATTTTTGTACCAGGGAACCTAACCTTAGTATATTGTGTGTGATATCTTTGTGAGACAGGTAAGGTAACATCTAGGTAATATAGGAGGGTGGGCGCTGCGTCCAGGGAATCTTGTCCACAACACTTCAGACAGGCGAGGGAGGCATTGTCACACAGACTTCCAATGGAGTAAAAGTATCCATTTCAAAAAACATTACATAGCCATGCATGGTCCACTGTTGTCACCATCAGGACAGGAAGTCTCTTGAAAGAGGCTGCAGTAGTTCAGGAGCAATGAGATTCAACAAAAGATGAAAAAAAGTGAAAACAATATTTTATTTTAAAAAATAAATGGTAGTTGCACAACATGAATTATCCACGGCCCATTTGTCATCTGAGGGTGGTCAGATTAAGAGCCTGTAACACATAAGTGTCAAACTAGAAGAAGTTTTAGGACACCCACTAGTGAGTCGCAGGTACCGGGTATAGGCTTCCTTAAATGCCAATGGTTATACGCATGTAAATGCTAATATCTGTGTACAGCCTTGTATGGACATAAATCCCTGAAAACTGTTTTTTTGTGTCCAAGGATTTATGTCTGTACGCATATGCAGATATATGCAAGCTTCAGCGTATAGCCGCATACAGCTATTGACTTTAATGGGCGGTTGTACGCGGCACCTTCAGCTCCTTGGGCAGGAGAAATCCACTGTAGCTCCCTGAGAAAAGAAAGATACGCCAATATAATATGTTGTGCAGTCTCAGCAGCTTGTGTGCATGAGCCCTTAAAGTGCAGAGATTTTTCACCATGTTAGAAAATCATTGTTATCGTGCCTCCTTTCCCACTATCCATGAAAAGAACTGTTTATCACATGCTCCTAAACGACAGATCTGTCCACGAGTGGCCAGCCTTGTGTTTGAGTGTTTTCAGCTTTTTGGGAGAATTTACATTTGTCAATGTTTCTTGTGATTTCAGGGTAATAAACTTCTATAAATCACAGAGGGATGTCATGCTTGCTTCTGCAGATAAGTGGCTAACAGGTTAGTTAACTGCTAAATAAATCAATGATCTGTTCATAAGTGATTTTTTTTAAATTGATGTTTCCACTTACAAAAAAAACTACTAAGACTTTCGCCTGACTGCAATCTTTTTGGACTTTGGTGGCTGCAGGCTGATTCCAGACATATAGTTTAGTGGGCAGTAAAGCCAGGATCAGGATGACAGCCTCACAGCCTGCACCTCAAAAAAGTAAGCAGTTGTAGAGACAATATTTCTCTCCTCACATGTTTCTTTAAACCAGAGACTTAACTAGAAACCTCAGGGCCCCGATGTAAGAACTGTCAAGGCCCCTATCCAAACAAGCATGATTTTGATACTTTTGATATTTCTTTTTCCAATAAATGTTGTAAATGGCTGCTGTTGTTGGCATAACTAAGCCTATTGTTACCAAAATGTATCCTACATGTGATAGCCAGCTCTCCATGTAAGATTAGAAGTGGAATAATCTGTGTCCATATAAATTGATTTTAGCATGTGCTTTGGGATATTTGGGATTGTAAATTAAAGTGTACATGTAGACGTACAGTAGATGTGGCCACCCATATCATCGATCTATTTTCCTTTTTTCCTTAAAGGTTTGGCTGAGTGGCACTGTCCTTCAGCTGGCATGTTCCTATGGCTGAAGATTAAAGGAGTGCCTGATACACATCAATTGATCATGCAAAAAGCAATAAGTAACCAGGTAAATATTAAATCTATGAATATTTTACATTCTTCACAGACCATAGGAATACAGCTCTTCATCTTAGCTCTCCCTACAGCATGGTACTTATTGTACATATTCAGGAATCATGAATTTCCTGCGGATGAGAAGAAGATACACCTTAGGAAGAGAAGTCACTAATTTTCTGTACACACAGGAAGTGAAGTGCAAAAGCACTTCGGCACACACCGCTCAATTCCACTTTTTCAATGACCAGTGGGATCTGAACAGCAGTATCCAAAACTTTTTCTCTAATAGCCTTGTCACCAATAAGACGTGCACTCCAACCAACATAGTTCATTTTAGGGATATACCAATACTAGTATCGGTGCCGATACTGAGTATTTGGGCGAGTACTCGTACTCGCCCAAATGCTCCAGATGCCTATCTCGATACCGGATCTTCTGGTATCAGGAAGCTGGGCGGCGAGTCATTGACGGCTTCCCAGCTAACCGGAAAGCTGGGCGGCGAGTCATTACACACCGCCTGGCTAATCAGGAAGCCAGGCAGCGAGTCCTTACACGCCGCCTGGCTTCCCTAATGGGATTTCCAGTGTTGGTATTCCGTATCGGCGAGTATCGAAATAAAAATATCGGTACTGGATACCGAATAACTGGTATTGGTGCATCCCTAGTTCATTTCTTGTATTCATGTCACCAGGGAAATCTGCACTCCAGAACATACAGTTCACTCCAAGTATTAATGTCACCAGGGAAATCTGCACTCCAGCATACACATCGCACACCCCAGTATCCACAAACTACTGGGTCTCCACTCCAGCATACATAACTCCCTCTTATAATCTATCACCGGTGATAGCTGCACTCCAATAAACACAGCTCACCTCCCAGTATCCATATCAACAGTAATACACACACTCCAGCATAACAATCTCACCAACACCTATCTCCCTTCAGTTTCAATACCACCAGTAAGAGCTGCACTGCATAAAACGCAGTTCACTCTTCACTATCATACCATTTATCCCCCCAGTTAAGATCAGCCAAACACACACAGCTCATGCCAACCCAACTGTGAGATCTGCAATCCAGCTCACACATCTCATTTACTAGTATTCACAACATCACTCAGATTTGCACCCCAAAGTTTAAACCTGTATGGTAGCATGCACAGCTTGCATCTCCTTATTCATGTCACCAGTAAGATCTGCACTCCTGCACACACATCTCACTCCCCTGTATCCCACACCATCAGTGAGCTTTACACTCTGGCACACACATCTCACTTCCCACTATCCATACCACTGGTGATATTTCCACTTCATCACATATCTTACTCTATACTATCCATAACACTGGTGATATTTCCATTTCATCGCATATCTTACTCCATACTATCCATACTTCTGGTGACATTTCCACTTCAACACATATGTAACTCCTCACTATCCATACTTCTGGTGACATTTCCACTTCAACACATATCTAACTATCCATACTACTGGTGACCTTTCCACTTCAACACACATCTCACTCCCCACTATCAATACTACTGGTGACATTCCCACTTCTACAAACATATCTCACTCCCCACTATCCATACTACTGGTGACATTTCCACTTCAACACACATCTCACTCCCCACTATCCATACTACTGGTGACATTTCCACTCCAACACATATCTAACTCCCCACTACATACTACTGGTGACATTCCCACTTCTACAAACATATCTCACTCCCCACTATCCATACTACTGGTGACATTTCCACTTCAACACATATCTAACTCCCCACTATCCATACTACTGGTGACATTTCCACTTCAACACATATCTCACTCCCCCCTATCCATAGCAATAGTGACATTTCCACTTCAACACACATTTCACTCCCCATTAACGGTGCCTCTAATACGTTTAACATTTAATCACACACACATGTCACTCCTTTGTATCCATACAATTAAAGGGTTTTACACTCCAAAACATTAATCTCACTTCATAGTATTCATACGACCAGTGAACTTTATACTCCAGCATGCACAGCTTACCTTCCATTAATATTACCATAAGTAAGATCTGCCACAACATACACAAAAATGAAATTATTTTACCAATAAAATGTTAAGAAAGTTGGTTAAAAAAGAGATTGCAGTGTATTTCCGCATTAAGCTGCTCTTGTATGATACAATCTAATTATGGAAGCTCCTTTTAGATGTATCAATAGCTGTTTAATATTACTTAATTCTATTTAAAAAACTGTTAATAATTCTAAAGGAAGTTGTACGGTCAGGTTGTAATATGCTCTGCTGTTTTTTGTTTCAGCTAAAGCAATCCATTTTTTATATAATCAGTCACATTTTATTCATTATTTGTATTTTTGTGAGTACACGCATTTAGATTTTGGTAGCAGTCTATTGTAACCTAGTAGATTATACAATCAGATCTAGTAAAATTATTTGAAAAAAGGAGATTGTAAGGTGTGCTCAGTGTTGAACATGCATATTACAGTGTACAGTGTTTCTAAAAAATTCCTTAAACTGTCACTACACCCTCACTTATTAAAAAAAAGGCCCACCTCATGATTTATTTTGCTGAATGAGCTTTCAGAAGTCGATTTTCGATTGCTTATGTTTTGCTCTGCCTTCTAGAAGTGACATTCTCAAACTTCATGTCTGATGCTTGAACAGTACACATATCATCATGGTCACGTGCACTGCCAGCCTCGGACTACATTTCCCAAGGTGCCTTGCACAAGCATTTTAATAATGGTCCTGTGTGCCTTATACAATGCTGTAAAAGAAACAACTTAATGATGAAATAGGGGTTGGTTGTACATGCTGGTACTGGCCGCATCCGCAAATATTAATGTATTCCATTATGGGAAAGTGCAGAGTAGCCACCCTCACAAAGGAAATTCAAGACCTAAATATTTGAAGTAAGCAAATCTATATATCAGAACAATCATGACTTACCTCACATATACAGTATATGTGAGTGGATAAGGCAGAGCAAATTCTATTCATTCATATTTTTTTCATATGGATAAGTTACATTTTAACAATGCTTGCTGGCCACAAGCATTGCAATGTCATGTTCAATCTTCTAACAACTCTATAGCTATGGTCTATCAGAATGAATATAAATGGAATGAAATGTATAGGTAGGTAGTCACTTTTACTACACATTTTTGTCAGTTTGAAGCAGATTGTAGAATTTAGATAATATGTAATCAGGTACACCCTGGTATTACATAGTTGTTAGTAAATCAATAGGTTGTGCAATCATATTAAACATGTGTGGTACTTATCCAGTGAATTTTTCATACACTCTTATCCAAATTTAATTATTTCACTGAATCGAATGTGAGCTCACATGTTTAGATTTTGCTGGTCAGTCAGAGTTTAACGTGCAGCCAGATCTCCTAGATTTCACCACAGAGGTCAAATCCTGAAGACCCCAATCTAAATCAAAATCCAACATTAAAGTATTTTGCTGCTACTGCTGTAGTTACTGTATTACCTCAACGGCAGTACCGGCATGTAAACAAACTCACGGACGTTATAGCAGGCAAGATTTTGTTTACATTTTTTGTTCCGTTTGCAGGCTTTGTTGTAGCCAACCCTGTGCCAGCTCAGTTTAGTACTCACCAAAGGATTTACCATCCTGGCTAGCCATGAGACAGCTTGGGTCTAATTCACGCCTGTGAAGACTCCACAGAAGACTTTTAATATTCCCCAAGGGTGACCAGTACTTAATTTCCTGCACAATGCTATACAGCTCTACCACTACCACCAGCTTATCTGACAAAATGCCACAGTCTGGGGACAGGAAAACCCCATCCACAGCGCTAGCCTGGAAGGGGGGCTCTTTGTCCCTATATATTGCTAGAAGTGGGCAGACGGTACATATGTAAACTGGAGATATGAAAAAGTATCTAGGTAGACATTTTTTTTAAAAAATATTCATCAATGTTAGGCCTTATCTCTCACTCTTTATGAGTTGTTTCATCATTGCTCCCACCTCTTCAGCTTTTCTTTTTAATATATTGCTTACCATGCCATCTGCAGCAATGCCTAATGTCTTCTCATATATAGGTTCTTTTAGTTCCTGGTTCCGCGTTCACTACTGACAGTTCAAAACCCAGCTCTTATGTGAGAGCCTCTTTCTCTTTGTCTACCCCAGAGCAGATGGACTTGGTAAGAAAATTGTTGCAGTATATGTTTCTGGTAAAAGCACTTTCTGGGGTAACAATAGCAATCTGACAAGGTTCTCTTTCCTATCAGATAATAATCTCCCCACAGGAGCTGTCAATCTCTGCAAGCACCAGTAAATATGAGATTGTCAAACGGGATGGTTCTCATTTTATGTCAGTGGAAATTGTGAGATTCAACTTCAAATGGAGAGTTTTCCAGGCACTTACCATTCAGCAGAATCTGTTTTAGGACATTTTGCCCATTTTAATTCCTCTAAAACATCAAAGCAACACAATGTTCTGCCCATGCAGGGGTTGTTTAGAATAGCAATGAACACAAATATCTTTCAGCCTCCTGGCTATTTTGTAGCACAGCTCTGTATATTCCTCCTTAGGACAGAGCTGGCCCAGTCTCAGCCTCCATCTGTCAGTCACCAGACTGGACATGTTGCCTGCTCGTATACAGACTGCGTACAGTACATTAAAGTTTCTACTAAAAATGATGCATTCTGGGATTGCATACAGTTCACGCATATACGCGTCTATACGCATTTACTAGTATGTGTACAATTTTGCTCTTGCGTTGTGTGTGAATGAGGCCTTACAGTTGGCAGCATTTTAGTTGATCCTAACTTCAGTCGCTGTCATTTTTGCTTATCAGCTTGGGCTGCATGTAAATATGGAAAGCATTTTTTTTTTTTTTAAAGAATCCCTGTCAGGTTTTACCGCTATCTGGGGCTCAGTTAGAGAGATTTACCTTACTCACTGTTCGGGGACAACCTTTTTCCCAGACAGGAAGCAAAGAAACCTCACCAAGAAGTTAAGTAAGGGAATGCTAGAACTTTTGTCAGTTTTGTATTGTTGTCTATTTCCTTGTTGCTGATTTTCCCTGACTTCCTGTCCAGTGAAAGGTTGTCCGCAAAACAGAAAAACATAGGGTCTGAATTGTGAACACAATCTTACCAAGACCTGGACCATTTTCTCCACAGCAACCAAACATATTTAGACTTTCAGTACAGGACTGCTGCTTATTGGTGGCAGGGGAGAGGTAACTCCAGTTCTTAGTTGAAGCTTGTTGAGAAAATCTAGTGAACACTGAGTTGGATATTATTATAAAATGTGTTTTACACCATATAATTAATCATTTTTCTTATGTTTTGGTCTTTCCAGGGACTGCAAAGACTGGCATCTCTTATCGTTGCAGAAAGAAAATGAATAAGCTACCTACTACATAGAAACTACAAATTGTTAATTCTCAGGGAATCTGAATAAAAACTATTCAACCTTTTTGACAAAGAAAAAGAGAAATATGGGTTGCTGACCCTGATGACAGATCAGGTTGCTTGCAGCTTCAGAAGGAGATGTCAGAAGTGGTTGCCCCAATTTTTTAAACATGAAATTGCATCACATGCTGATTTTAGCATATCCCACATTCTGGAATTCTGATCAGCATGAATTATGTATGTATTAGAAAAAGTGCAATAAAGCCTTTAATTGACATCCTTAAGTGTCCTGGTGGTCGGCATTTGCATAACTTCTTTGACGTGTCCTTTTCTCAGAACTTATGATTTTACAATATTCTGCATTAGCTGCTTTGGAAAAGTGCATAAGGCCAATGATGGCCAATGATCAGACATGCTGGGCTTTCCTTAATAGAAAGTTACAGCATGTGTACCACATACTGCTCTCTATCCACACAGTTTTATGGAAGAGTTTAGGTGCCCCTGGCAAATTACACGTTTTTCAGAGAAAAAAAGCTTATGAAGACTCTCCAGGGAACAGATATAACATGTCTACTATTTGCTGAATTTAACAGACTGAAAAAAATATAAATCAATACAATAAAACATCTCTAGAGTGGTTAATGGTTAAAACATCTTTTCCGGTTTTTTTCCACTGTCCCATTAGTGAGATTTTGCATTGCATTCTTTTTTAACCACTTGAGTCCCATCCCTATGGCATACTGACCTGGCCAGCTGGAAGCACTTTTATAGGTCCGTATGCCATATGTCCTTGGCAGCGAAAGGGTTAAACCTATATGAATGCTATTAAGTCCCAGGAATTTTTTTAGGTTTTGGACATGTGAGAGATTGTCAGTTGCTGCTTCATTTGCTGTAAACCTGGCCAATCTTGATGTTGTTTTTGTTGAAGAAGGATAATACTTTTTTTTTTATACCATACTTTTTCTTTTGTAAAATCTTTACATAAATTTGCAATAAACACAAAAACAGTCACAAGCAATACATTGGTACAGAAAGAAAGCATCCGGGCACAGAAAGAAAGCAGCCAGATGGGAATTTTGACATGAGGCCCATGTAACTATAAAAAAGGCGGTGCCAACTTCAATAAGAAAACCAAGAAAAAAAAAACACAAAACCATCAGGCTCGGGCTAAGGAGCTCAGGGAGAAAGACTTAAAAAAAATATGACCATTAGTAATGTTGCGACATCTCATGAAAGCTGTAAAAAGTATTTATACCATACTTTAAATGATAAACTTTTTTTGAGAATGAGAAAAAAAAAATGTAAACTTATGAAAACAAAACAATTTTCTGTTGATTTCCACAAAAAAAAAAAAAATTTTCAACAATACTAGATTTTCCTATTTTTTTCAAGTATATGGTGTAGAAACAATGGTGTGTGTATATAACATTCTGTTTAAAGAGCATTTTTTTAAAATACTATGGCAACAGAGGCCTTATCTTCGAAAATATAGTGCCTTGCAAAAGTATTTACCCCTCTTGTTGTTTTTCCTGTTTTATTGCATTACAACCTAGAATCAAGATAAATTCCATAACAAAGACTAGAGGCCACCACCTGAAACTGGTAGAAAAAAAATTCAAACACAAGGGGTGAAGGGGGTTCTTCTCAGTTCGCGCAATTGGGGTCTGGAACTCACTGCCACAAGCAGTGATTTCAGCTAATAGTCTAAGCAGTGATTTCAAGCTTTTGGACGATTTCCTGAGAAACGGTAATATACAGGGGTACAGGTACTCCTAATAACGAGATGACACAGGGACCCATACACACACACACACACACACACACACACACACAATAGGTTGGACTTGATGGACATATGTCTTTATTCAACCTCAAATACTATGTAACTATGTAAAATGGATTTTTGTCCCATGTGATTTACACAACATGCCTACCACTTTGTAGGTACAAAATATTTTTTATTGTGATGCAAATAATAATAAAGACAAAAAACAGAAATCTTAAGTATTCGGTTCCGACACTTGTGACATCACTACACTCCCAATATAAATGTGTTTGTTTATTTTTCGCATGCTCCAATAGAGAGCTGTGCAAAAGCATTTGAAGTACAGGATTTCAGGTCCTGGGCTTAGCACTGAATGGCAGTTCCAGCCTTCACCCCTGCTGGGATCTCTGGGAACTGCTGCCATTTTAAGCAGGCACTGGGACAAATAACCGCTATCCCAGCGCTGTTTTAAAGTGGTTAAATACATAGACAGTTGTCACTGGAACAGGCGTCCTCATTGGAAGATTTCTCTTTTATTCCTGTTATGTTAACAGCTGTAAAATGTAGCATTTTCCATCGCATGTCCCACTGACAATGGTAGCAGACAGCAGTAAAAACAATTAAAACTTTAATTTTAACTGGAGTATAGTTGAAGATAGATAAATAAATTCACCTTTAATAATTCACATAAAATATGAATTGCAATTCTGGAGCGAAACGTACTGCCTAGTGTATATATAAAGATATCATGACAATGACAAGTATTCAATATGCTGAAATGCACTAAAGCACAAGAGCACTTCAGATTTTATGATCCCCTGAGGAAAAAAGCTTTTAAACTGTAACCATTTTCTTTTCTTTCACAGTTTAAATAAATGTTTTTTTTTAATTAAAATCACCACCAATCTATGTATTTTAGGAACAGCTAAAGAAAACTGCGGGGCCTAAAACGTACCTGCCTCTGTCATAGGTCATGAGTCCCCTAACAGGACAAAACACACAGCTAAAAGCACCAGAGAACATCTAAGAACAAGACATTAGACTTCTATGAGCCTTCATCTGAATCCTATCACACATCTATAGAAAGCTGAAACATGCAGTCTGGAGAAGGCACTCTTAAAACCTGAAACAGCTAGAGCAGTTTGTTAAGGAAGAGTGTGACAAGACTACCTGTTGGCAGATGCAGAAATATCATTGAGAGCTACAGAAATCACTTGTTTGCAGCGATAGCCTCTAAAGGTTGTGCAACAAAATATTAGGATAAGGTTTCCATAACGTTTCTCCATGGCATTTTCATTTGTTTTATTATTTAAAATATTCTGTTGAATCAAAAGCAAAGTCTGATTTGTGTTTAAATATGGAATAAACCATGATGTTGTCAGTTTCAAGGTATTTTAGAGAAAATTGTGTGTTCTTTTTTCGTGGAAGGGTGCCAACAAATTTGTCCACGTCTATAACATATTTTGTATTTTTGTTGTGATATATTTATTGATGTGCTGATACATGTGCACCACAATGTCACATGCATACATTGTCAGAGCCAGATATGTCCAGGTGACAAATATTAACTTTGTGTAAAGAAAAATTGAGCCAATACTCCCGTGCCAAAATAATCAGTTTTATTTTCAGATACTTAAAACCAAGGTACTGTTTTCCCTTTTATATCCTGAGCCCCGCAGTTTTCTTTAGCTGTTCCTAAAATACATCGATTGGTGGTGATTTTAATAAAAAAACATTTATTTAAACTGTGAAAGAAGATAAAATGGTTAAGGTTTAAAAGCTTTTTTCCTCAGGGGATCATAAAATCTGAAGTGCTATGGTGCTTTAGCGTATTTTAGCATATTGAATACCTGTCATTGTCATGATATCTTTATATATAACATGTAATTTTCTGCTTTTAATATTATCTATCTGTTCAAAAAGCACTTTAGTGATTACAGCCCTAAACCATTTAATGTAGAAAATCCAATGATATATGGAGCAGGCTGAATACTAAACACATACTTAGCTCCAACATTCTTCTTCACAATGCTATATCATGTAATTATAATAAAAAAACAATGAAGAGAAATCAGACATAGGTAGAACTGTTGCCCATTGTGAACGATTAGATTTAATTTCTCCAGCGAATAAAAGATGAACCCCGATTGGTCATTATGAGTTACAACTCTGCTTCTATACAAATAAATAGGGATGCACCGGTATCGGTATTGGTGCTGATACTGGGCATTTTTATGAGTACTCATATAGTGAAAATACCCTGATACTAAGTGCCAATACCGGCGCTTAAAATGTTTAAACTGATGGCGACGCTGTAAACAGGCTCCACGCTTCACAGGAAGGCTGCTGAGGACCCCAGCAAAATCTTGCCAGCCTTCCTGTGAATCGCAGCGCCTGTTTACAGCGCCAGCAAAAAGTTAACAGCGAGAAGTTTCTCAGCACACTCACCAGCCAGCATGCAAAAAAATTGTCTCACCACTAAGGTTAAAAACGGATGTTTAGATACACGTCTTCTGCAGAAAATGTGAAGGCCGCGCCAAGACACCTCTATGTAGTGCGATCCTAACTCTAAACTATGAGAGTCTCCATCTTGGAGCACATGGGGCAAAAGATGAAATTGGGTGCAGGTTTGTCAGGAGGAAGCCCCTCCCATAAAGGCACAGGGACGCACAAGGGACCCCGCACATCACAACGGCAGCTGAGACCCCCCCATGCGTCACTGCACCAAATCAGTCAAGCAAAACAAATGGCAAACGCACTCATCAATTCGTTACCAGCTTTACAGCAAGGTGCACATGAAAGGGCTTAATACTGTACAACAGAAAAAAGGTTCCCAGCTCACTCACCAGCCAGCATGCAAAAAAACTTGTCTCACCGCTAAGGTTAAAAGCAGAGGTTTAGATTCACGTCTTCTGCAGAAAATGTGAGAGCCGCACAGCCGCGCCAAGGCACCTCTATATAGTGCGGTCCTAACTCTAAACTATGAGAGTCGCCATCTTGGAGCACATGTGGCAAAAGATAAAAATGGGTGCAGGTTTGTCAGGAGGAAGCCCAACCTCCCTTAAAGGCACAGGGACGCACAAAGGACCCCGCCCATCACAACGGCAGCTGAGCCCCCCCCATGCATCACAGCACCAAATCAGTCAAGCAAAACAAATGGCAAACACGCTCATCAATTTATTACCAGCTTTACATTTTTATCTTTTGCCACATGTGCTCCAAGATGGAGACTCTCATAGTTTAGAGTGCCTTTAAGGGAGG